GGAGGACAGAAGACTGGAAGGGGGTTAAAACAAGACAAAGGGTAGATGATGTTAATGGAGTCCAGAGCTGCCTCTTCCTTGCAATATCCAGACAGAAGGATTTTAATAAGTTATATCTGCTCAGCTGCTCAGATTTCCTGTATGACAGGAAGTAGTTCCCACAGTACATGTTGGGCATTGAACTAATTTCAACAGAAATGCCAGCCTTTGTATTCCAATGCCTTTCAAATGAATTAAAATAGCAATAATATCTAGAGAAAGATAAAATTGAGTTATACACAGGCTAAATTACTGTGATATTGAATCAGCAATTTTCTTGTGTTTCAGAGAACAATGCTAAGATTCTATGATCACATGATCAAGAAGGTCCAAAATAGGCACAGCTGAGCCTGTTTGTCAAAGATCTGATGGTTCAAATTCTGGAAAGAATGTTGATCTAATGATTCGGGGCACATACAGTTGTGCACATACACTCACCTAAAGGATTATTAGGAACACCTGTTCAATTTCTCATTAATGCAATTATCTAATCAACCAATCACATGGCAGTTGCTTCAATGCATTTAGGGGTGTGGTCCTGGTCAATACAATCTCCTGAACTCCAAACTGAATGTCAGAATGGGAAAGAAAGGTGATTTAAGCAATTTTGAGCGTGGCATGGTTGTTGGTGCCAGACGGGCCGGTCTGAGTATTTCACAATCTGCTCAGTTACTGGGATTTTCACGCACAACCATTTCTAGGGTTTACAAAGAATGGTGTGCAAAGGGAAAAACATCCAGTATGCGGCAGTCCTGTGGGCGAAAATGCCTTGTTGATGCTAGAGGTCAGAGGAGAATGGGCCGACTGATTCAAGCTGATAGAAGAGCAACTTTGACTGAAATAACCACTCGTTACAACCGAGGTATGCAGCAAAGCATTTGTGAAGCCACAACACGCACAACCTTGAGGTGGATAGGCTACAACAGCAGAAGACCCCACCGGGTACCACTCATCTCCACTACAAATAGGAAAAAGAGGCTACAATTTGCACGAGCTCACCAAAATTGGACAGTTGAAGACTGGAAAAATGTTGCCTGGTCTGATGAGTCTCGATTTCTGTTGAGACATTCAAATGGTAAAGTCAGAATTTGGCGTAAACAGAATGAGAACATGGATCCATCATGCCTTGTTACCACTGTGCAGGCTGGTGGTGGTGGTGTAATGGTGTGGGGGATGTTTTCTTGGCACACTTTAGGCCCCTTAGTGCCAATTGGGCATCGTTTAAATGCCACGGCCTACCTGAGCATTGTTTCTGACCATGTCCATCCCTTTATGACCACCATGTACCCATCCTCTGATGGCTACTTCCAGCAGGATAATGCACCATGTCACAAAGCTCGAATCATTTCAAATTGGTTTCTTGAACATGACAATGAGTTCACTGTACTAAAATGGCCCCCACAGTCACCAGATCTCAACCCAATAGAGCATCTTTGGGATGTGGTGGAACGGGAGCTTCATGCCCTGGATGTGTATCCCACAAATCTCCATCAACTGCAAGATGCTATCCTATTAATATGGGCCAACATTTCTAAAGAATGCTTTCAGCACCTTGTTGAATCAATGCCACGTAGAATTAAGGCAGTTCTGAAGGTGAAAGGGGGTCAAACACCGTATTAGTATGGTGTTCCTAATAATCCTTTAGGTGAGTGTATTTGATATGGCTTGAAACGTGTCATATGTTGTGTCGCATTGGCAAACGGCCCACGGTGCAGAGGAGCAGCTGATTCTACAAATAACCTGAGTAACAATGTTTACACTCGGCTGCCGTCAAAGGATGCTGAAGAGTGTCCCAGTGCATGCTGGGAGGGGGACGAAGCACAGCCTGTCCACAGATCCCCCTTGTTTCTGAAACAAAGCTGGTTGGATTCTCCTCTCCCCCCCCCCCATGCAGTCTGCTGATTCATATTCCCTGGCAAGTTGGCAGAGTTCAGAAATAGTCCTTAATGGGGAGCATAACAGCGCTAGCAGTTAGACGGTAGGTGTATCCAGTGCTGGGCAAGCTTTAAAACCAGCCCAGACCAAGACAAACAACATAATGGATTTTCCCTCTTCCTTCATTCCCTATTATGGTAGATTGGCGTTATGGATTCATTACTGTACTCGAAAATGTGCTCTTCTTGAACTTCGGATGAGAAATTCCCCCCTTTGATAGTTCGCTTATCTGATGGTGTAGCCGACATTTGGGCAGCAGTTGGTTGGCCAGAGGAAGCCCCAAGGACGGGATCAAAGACACGTTGTTTATTGAAACGTGGGGCCGCTCCTTGGAGCAGGAAGTTCAGGAACAACATGCTCACTGTTGGCTGTTTCTGCCTGAGGGAATGCGATGCTAGCGGCCATTAGCGTTAGCAGGACGGGTGTCGTGGGGTGACAGCACTGTGAGGTTCGCATGCTGAGCTTCTCCTTAAATGGGCTTACGTGGATTGGCGTCTCTAAATAGTGTGTGGACTGATATCCCATCAGGAGAAAGTCTAAATGCGTAACGTAATCGACTCTGATAAAACAGACATACTTTAATGCATAATTTAGGCAGTTTGTTTTAATTAAATGGGGTGGCACTGTGAGGGGCAGTAAACTTCTCTGTTACCGCAGCCCTGCTCTGTGTGTGTGGAGTTTGCATGTTCTTCCTGCCTTGTCTGGACTTCCTCCCATTGTCTAATCAGTTTCTCAGTGTTACCAGTAGTGTCTGGGTTTGTGTGTATATGTACCCTGTGATAGGCTGGCATCTTGTGCAGGTTGCACCCCAGCCATGTGTGTATATATGCCCTGTGATAGGTTGGCATCTTGTGCAGGCTGTACCCCAGCCATGTGTGTATATGTGCCCTGTGATAGGCTGGCATCTTGTGCAGGTTGCACCCCAGCCATGTGTGTATATGTGCCCTGTGATAGGCTGGCATCTTGTGCAGGCTGCACCCTAGCCTTGTGCCCCATGTTACTGGGATAGGAAGCTGACTAGGATACGTGGTTGCAAGATGGATGGATTTTTATAAATGAACTCACTTACCTGTATAATGCACACATGTTGTATATGGTGGTGATCAAATCTGTAGATGTGTGAAATATCTTTATCCTTTTAAACCATGCTGCCTTGTGGTAATGTCCTGTGTTTTTGCCAAAGTCTAGAACATTTATGGGGGAAATACAGACGTGGACAAATTTGTTGGTACCCTTACAGCTCACCGAAACAATACTTCATTTATCCTGAAATGTGATTCAGTGCATACCTGCATGTCTTTAGTATGTGATAGAGGAAACCTATAAAACTGTGAAAAGAAATGATTTGTTGTTTATTTTACAAAGATATGTTAAAATAGTATGGACAGATTTGTGGGTGCATCTAAAGAGACTATTTATTCTTGCATTATTGTCATGTTTCAAACTAAGTGTTTAACCTTAATTAGTATCACAGGTGCCTTCAAGCTTTTCATCAGCCATTCAGCCTATTTAAAGGGAAAGAACATGCTGCTGTGTTGTTTGGTATCATTGTGTGCATCACACTGAACATGAACCAGAGAAAGCAAAGGAGAGAGCTGTCTGAGGAGCTCAGAAAGGAGATTATAGGTAACCATGTTAAAGGCTATAAGACCATCTCCAAGCAGCTTCATGTTCCTGTGACCACAGTTGCCAATATTACTAAAAGGTATAAGGTTCATGGGACAGTAGCCAACCACCCAGGATGTGGACGCAAGAGGAAATGCAACCTCAGGTTAATAAGAAGGACAGTGTGGATGGTAGACAAAGAGCCAAGGAAACCATCCAAAACCATTCAAGCTGAGCTCCAAGGTCATGGTACATCACTTTCTGATCGCACCATCCGTCGCATTTTGATCAATAATGGGCCCCATGGAAGAAGACCCAGGAGGGCTCCACTATTGACAGAAAAACATAAAAAATAAAATTTGCCAAAATGCATGTTGACAAGCCCCACAGTTTCTGGGAGAATGTCCTTTGGACTGATGAGAGACAGAACTGGAGCTTTTTGGCCAGTCACATCAGCTCTGTGTTTACAGAAGGAAAAATTAAGCTTTAAAAGAAAAGAACACCATACCTACTGTGAAACATGGAGGGGGCTCAGATTTGTTTTGGGGCAGCTTTGCTGTATCTGGCACAGGGAACCTTGAATCTGTGCAGGACAATGAAGTCTCAAGACTTCACTACTAAGGCATCCTGGAGCGAAACATACTGCCCAGTGTCAGAAAGTTCAGCCTCAGCTGCAGATCATGTGACCTCCAACATGACAACGACCAAAAACATACAACTAAAAGCACTGAAGAATGGCTGGGGAAAAAAAACATTGGACTATTCTTAAATGGCCCTCCATCTTAATCCTACTGAAGATCTATGAAAAGACCTGAGAACTGCAGTGTGGAGACGCCACCCTTCAAACCGGAGACAGCTTGAGCAGTTTGCTCAGGAAGAGTGGGTCAGACTACCTGTTGGCAAATGCAGACGTCTCACTGTGAAGTACAGAGATCACTTGTTGGCAGTGATTGCTGCAATATTAAATTAAGGGTGTCATGTTTTTTTTTCATCCATGCCATTTTCATTTGTTTAATTATATAAAATATTCAGCTCTATTAATAATGAAAAGCAAAGTCTGATTTGTGTTAAATATGGAATAAACAATAAGGGATGCCATTAAATTTTTGTCAGTTTCAAGTTACGTCAGAGAGTTTTTTGGTTTTTTTTTGTGGAAGGGGTACCAACAAATTTGTCCATGTCTGTAATTATGGGAGGCCTCAAAATGATTGTGAATAATAACATGCTGTGTCTGTGAAGCGGCAGCTCGGGTTACCGCTGGCATCATCCAGGTCGTCGTTTCGTTTTCCTGTCTTTCTCCTGTGTCGTTTACAAACAGTAGTTATCCTGTAACATGGGGATGGGATTCGGGCAAATAAAAAACCACCCGACACGTTAGCCACGTGTTAGCAAATGAGAAAATACTGTCACCACGTTTTAATTGTCCTTGTTTGTTCAGGAACCGCGATGTGATAGGGATGGCCAGTCGATCTGCACTGCAAATCCTGCGTGCTAATACGGAAGCATGCCAAAAGGCCCATTTGGACAACAAAGAGCCATTCTAAGTAGCTGAGAACATTTCCCACGATCTGGCAGAGCATCTCGCTGGCAGAGTTGTGCATTTTCTCAAGAGGCACGCATCTCAGACCTCCTCTAAAGTGGTGCCCACTTTGATACATCCTTGCCTGGGTCTGTGCCCCCCTGTCACGGAGAGCAGGCTCCTGGTAAGGTTAACGGCTCACGCATATTAACACTACAATAACAAGAAACGTTAAAAATATGCACGATTACTTTATGTCACGCAATAACTACTTAACAAAGAAAAGACAAATGAGTTAAATACAAATAAAGCTTGTTTTTTCTTGGGGGAGGGAGGATGTTTATATATATACAAAAATATGTTTGTAAATTGTCATTGCGATTTGTAGTTAAATATAACTGTTTGGCACTATATGTAGTTTGGTAGGAAATTAGGAAGCAGGCGTCTGATTGTCCTGTTTCCTTCTGAACCCGCACTGACCGGACGGCCGAGAAGCAACAAGCTGGAGCCGGATCACTGACGGCGAGGCGGCCGGAGCGCGTCGCGACTTCTCACAGATAGCCTTTCATCAACGTCCTCATCTGGTAAGTGTGTAGAATGTGTAATTGCTAACAGTTATCGATTATGTAAAATTTACACTTAGTGACGTGCGAGATATAATGTGGGTGCAGGTGTGCGTCGCAACTTATTTAAGGGAGTTTGCCGTATCGAAAATGCAGAATATCCCTGGCTGCAAGATAACATATGTAGGCTACCATCATTTAGCCGAAAAATATGATGAAGATATTTTGGCGTGGTTTGTGTTTTTATTTTCTCTCTGAAACGTGAGAAAGGAATATGGATTGGAAAGTGCATTTCTTGTTCTTCGTGATGCAATGGAGGCGGCGTGTCCGTAATTGCGGAGCTGCAGGAAGGGAAATGTCGAAGGTGTATTTCTCACGGACTAGGCACGATAGACAGTTTTTATTCAACAATATGCCAGTTTTCCCAATGCATTATTATTCTGTATATTGCGATTACGTATAATGGTAAACGAAAGGCTGTCCGCTGTTTAAAAGAGTAACTACGATCGGCGGTAATAAAAGCGCTACAGTATCTATTCATTCTATGTTCACATAATTCACATCTAATATTTCTTGTCTTTAATCTACTGCTATAATGGGCATTATAATGTATTGGCCACGAAATATTTTTAATGGAATTGTGCTCAGAAATAAAATGTTTAGAATGTGTATATAATAATGTATAAAAACGTTTCGGTTAGCTTACTGACAACGTCGTGTCAGGTATAAACAAACTTAAATAACGACAAGAATCAGTTTCCAGACGCGTTAAGACCGTCGGGAACCTTGAGTCGGCTGGCGTCCAAGTGTTACAAGGTTATAATAACGTTTGAAAATGCTTGAAATTTCATTTATTTACATGCAAAGCCTAGCATTTGGAGTGTGCGTCGCTCCAGATAGAGATGTAAGGAACAAGGTATCAGATTGTGCCAAAAATGTCACGTCGCCAGTGTAGCACTATATGTTCCACATGTCGTCCCAATACACTATAGTTACCGGAATAAAACATGCCACCGGTTGCTTTTTGGTGTCATAGTGTTTTTCACAACTATATAACGGCTGTCAGGATGGAAGCTTCCCAGTGCCTTCACCCAGCTGTTCAAAATTACCTTCTGTTTTTCGCAGGTGTGCTTCCCACTGATAGGATAGCAAATTATTATGGAATGGAAAATTATTGTGATGGCTCAGACATTGCAGATTTGTATTATATTTGCATATTTTATTGCAGTGTCACGTTGATTTTTTTGCTCATTTGGTAATTGTGTACGAGCTAGGTAACATGTTAATTCGGAATGCATTTCTTAGCAGCAACGAGGCATAGCTCGATTTTAATTAAGTTTTAATTTGCAGTTTAATATGCACACTAAAATATGCAGTTTCTCTCCTCGATGTGATTACGATGTATGGGAACATAAATATGGCAGTCCACACGCTGGCCTTCGGTGGAATATAGCTTGTTTATATATATATATATATATATATATATATATATATATATATATATATATATATACATACATACATACACACACACACACACACACACACACTCACCTAATGGATTATTAGGAACAGCTGTTCAATTTCTCATTAATGCAATTATCTAATCAACCAATCACATGTCAGTTGCTTCAATGTATTTAGGGGTGTGATCCTGGTCAAGACAATCTCCTGAACTCCAAATTGAATGTCAGAATGGGAAAGAAAGGTGATTTAAGCAATTTTGAGCGTGGCATGGTTGTTGGTGCCAGACGGGCCGGTCTGAGTATTTCACAATCT